GGGGGGGGGGGGGGGGGGGGTGATGTGCCCCGATTCTAGTCTCTGTGGACCCTCCCGGACCTCTCCCTATGTAGCTCTTCATTTAGCTGTTCCTGACTTGTATCCTTTATTATAAAATGTAATCATAATTGTAATCGTAAGTATAGTGCCTTCCTGCATTCTGTGAGTTGTTCTAGTAAATTATCAAACCTGACAGGGGTCATGGGAAACTCCCAGATCCGTAGGCAGTTGACCAGAAGTAGAGATGGCTGGGGGACCCCACTTGCAGGTGGCATCTGAAGTGGGTGCGGTCTTGTGAAGGAGTGAGCCCTTAACTTGCAGGGTCTGTGCTAACTCTGGGCAGTCAGTGCCAGAAATGCACTTCAGTACACCAGTGAGGGTTGAAACAGAATACTAACACTGAACAGACAATTGTGACTATGAGGAATAGATTGTGCTGATTGGTAAACACTGGATCATGGACCCATCACCTGAGGTTGGGATGGGCTCAGCTCCAATCAAACTCCATGGGCTGAGCATGGCAGAGGGTGGCTCTTCAAAGGAAAACTGGAGTCTCTGACTGAAGGGGAAGTGGTTGCTTGTGGGCTTCTTCTGGAGGTCATCTTGACCCTCCCCCACCCCAAGAGATGGAAATTTCTCTTATTTTGTCCTATTTTCTGGGATGTCAGATTCAACCTTGGTGCTTTGACCAGCACCTCCTACCCTCCAAGCAAATCATGCTTTGCTCAATCAGAACATTTTGACAGCTGAAGAACTCTACCTTTACTCAGGTTCTGCCTCTGCTACTGCACACACCATTTCCCCTAATTCTGCCAATCTTCCTCCCCCTGGTTTCAGGCTTCAAAGTGTAGCCTCCTCTAGGAAGCCATGCATGACTAACACACCTAGGTTGCCTCTCAAGTGCCTTTTACTTAGGAGTTTTTGTGTGACATTCACAAAGTGTTTCCAACTGGAATGTCTCCAGTCACATCTGAGTGACATGAGTGTGATAAGAGTTCTGCGTTTGGAAGGGCATCCAGGGCCGGTATGGGAGGGCTAGGAC